TTTACTTTAAAAAATTTTTTTTATATTGTGTGACTCAGGGTTTTATGAGCCAATAAAATCGAATGTCCGCTATGCTACGTAAGTTAGGATAACTTACTGTAAATTACCCAAACCTCAGGTAAATTACCGAACTACTACGGAGTTAAGAAAATTTTGGGCAACTTTAAGATATAATTTGGCCGGCATTAGGTAAACTGCCGGTTTAGGCAACATTTAGGGTAACTTACCAAATTACAGTAATTTTACAACCCTGGTTTAAAACTCATCTCCGACACATCTCCCGGGCCAAATGATCTGCAAATTTGACCCGAATTAGATCTGTTTTGATGAAATTTCACCCAAATTAGATCTGCTTTGATAAGTGATAAGTCGAATCAGCACATATCGATATCGATATCAGATATGTAAGCAATTTGATTAAGTCACATGTATTGTTTATTTTTATGATCTCGTGAGTATCTCATGCATGATTACATAAAGTTTTTACGCCAATGTAAACATGTAAACACGTTGAGATTTTTTTTATATAAATCTATTCATTTGCTTTTTTTTTGAACTCAAGATATACACCGTAAAGCCTTTACTTAATAATAAACTTTGTTGATGTTTGATAAAGATTTTATTTGGGCGAACAACTAAGCTTCGTCTGGTTATTTTGTTTACAAAATAATGTCTATGGCGATTTATTGTTCGGTTAAATAATGTTCTCTACCCAAATAATTTTTTTTTTAGGGCGAACAACTAAGTTTCGTCTGGTTATTTTGATACGTCAAAATAATGTCTATGGCGATTTATTGTTCGGTTAAAGAATGTTCTCTACCCTACGAACATTAACTGTTTATAATTTTGTTTATGCTGACCGGTAATATCTTCCCTTTTTTTACGTTTTTTTTTTTATTAAAGAAAGATAATTTAGGTTAAGCGTATATAGGAAATAATTATTGTAAATGATTTATGAAGTATCGATAAATTACAGTTTTTGAGGTTCGCTGATAATTTGGAGATACATATGATTATAATCCGTAATCAACAAAATTTATTACCTATAATACGTTTATTCGACGATTAATTTTTTTTTTTTGAAAAAAAAAACGGTTTTTTAAGGGGTCGTTTAAACCAACATCTCACGTATTCTAACCAATAAAAACCGTTTGTTAATATTATATAAAATATACAGTATCGACCAACTTGCGAGTATAGAGAAATAAGGTAATGGAAATTTACACATTTGCGTTGAAAAAAATGCAAATAATTTTCAAGATAAAGCTAAGACTTCGCTAGATTAATAATTTAGTAAAGAGCCCAAGGTTTCGTAATTATACCCTTCAAAACGCGACTGCGCTTCAGTTGCTATTATGCGCAGAAATTAGCAGATTAGTATTAAATACAGGTTTATTGTTATCTGTTGCATCTTTTTTTCTTTTTTACCGTGAGAAAATGCACATGGTAATGATATTCAATATCGCTTTTTGGGATCTACAGTATAATTTAAATTTTTTCTTATGGTATACTCTCAACGAAAGTTTATTATACGTTAAATGATAAAAAAACGTGATTGCGATTAAATCAAAATTATCACGCACTGACTTTGAAATCAATTGTCAACGATAAATAACTAAACTTTGACCATTTTATTTATACCAATAAATTCAAAAATCGGGTCCATTAAAAATAGCATGCATGGTTTCTCGTAGGGATGTTATTCTGCTCCAAGAGATTAAACGAATTTTAAGGCCAGAATAATTTTTCGTATAAGTAAAACTTCATTTGAAAAGGTATCGATAACAAATTAATTAATAATGGCTTTAAATAAACCGGTTTCATAAATAGAATTACTGTATATCTACTTCAAATTGCGCCAAATTTATTTATTGCCATTAACGTTAAATGTTCTTAAAAATACGTACGTATTATAAGTTTAATTAATTATCGTTATGCATATTTCAAAAGTAATAATAAACATCAAGAATTTTAAACAGGATAACATCCCTTAGTTTTCTGCGGATTTATGTACTGTACGTTGTTTCACGTACTCACGATCAACTTCTAAATTAGTTGATGACATGACAATCATTTGCTGCGTATCTGATATCGTTATATTAGTAATCCTAGAAAAGTTTTTATCTTGTAATAATTGCGTAATTCACTAATTATATACTATCTTTGATTCAAAGCATGATAGTATTGATGATTCGAGGAACACCCGCTCGGAATCGGGAACCGTACCATCAATGGAAGAGAGATTAGTTAGATTCGCAAAGAGACACCTCTACATGGTTGAACAAATTAGGAGAGTAAAACTAAGGCATACACGGAAATGCACATATACCTAATCTGGTTGATAAGAGTCTGCATTCTTTAACAAGTAAAATTAAATAGATAATCATTCTGACTTTAAAAAATTTTAAGGGAATATTATTATAGAGCTATTAGCATTGTGGCACTACCATATGTAAACATAAGATTCGGTGTAACCTAAAATCAAAATAATATATTTTATTACTTTAGGGTTAGGACCTTCGGATCAGGGTTAAGGTGATAGTGAAGAAAGATTTATAACAAAATTTAGTAAGGAATTTTTTTAATTAGATAACAAAAGAAGTGCTAATTGCCTATGATTGGATGAGTATCGGTATCACTGTAACCCATATAAAAATTATCAAGGTCAAAAAATCAAGTATGAATTTTATTCATGTCGCGAAAAATTAGAACTTATAGTTCTAACATATATATACTTTATGTCGCCGTTTTGATTATCCCAGTTTTAATAACATGCAATAATATTTCTGGTTTATTCAAAAAAACTTTTTACGCCAGGTTTTTAGAACAATGCCAAAAAAGTATTATCTCTTCGTATGTACATTTCACGTGTTTACTATGCTTTTGCAGGCAAATTTGCCTGCGTAACGTATTAAAGAGATAGTTAAAAAATTTTTTTTTGACATCATGAATTACTGGGGTGTGCGATTAGGGTGTACAACATCGGTATAATTACAAACATAGTGCAGGTGATATAGTGATGATAATAAAAATTTTTTTGATCGAAATTTACTATTTGAATATTATAAAAAATATCTCTTAATTCCTCGCTTAATATTTATTACTATTTAATTCCATAAAAGAAAAGTATTTAATAAAGAGTTTTTTTACATCGTAACAACGTTAAAATTTTTGTTTTGCTAACAAAATAATTTTTTTTCATGGGTACAAACTTCATAAATTTAGTCACATGTTAGATCTTTAATGTCGTACGAAAAGATAACGATTTAGGTCGATACAAAACTTCGTTTATTCTTTAATATCTAACAAATTTTATTAAGTGAATGAATTATTTTAGATCGCAGCAAAACAGTAACAACGTACTAAAACTCGACGACGTAACGTACCAAAACTCGACGACGTAACGTACCAAAACTCGACGACGTAACGTACCAAAACTCGACGAAGTAACTACCAAAACTCGATGAAAGAAAATACAAATTAGAACTAAATTCAACAAAAAAAAAAAAAAGATCAAAACATTCGAAAAGAATCCACAACACGAGGAAACCAATCGAAAAAGCAAAGAACCTACCCCACCGAAAAAACGAAAGAGCCTACCCGAATACGACAAAGAACCCACCGAAAAAAAAGCGCCAAAATTTCGACGGAAGATTCTGCTGAAATCAGCGAAAAAAAGCACCAAATTCTACAGAGGAACCTATAGGAAACGCGAAAGAACGTCGAAAGAAAACAATAAAATTGACGAAGGAATCTACTGGAACACAAAAACGCAGACGAAACGTCGACAAAAGAATCACCGAAACCCTACAAAATAAATAAATAAATAAAACGTTAAAATAAATTAAAAAACAATAAAAGATAAAACAAAACAAAAAAAAAAAAAAAAAAAAAAAACAGTAACTCATACATAGTCGTGAATCGAATTATTTAGTGTTTAAAAAAAATATGCAGAATTTGTGAGACCGTTGCTGGGAATCGAACCCAGTGCATAAACATCTCCAACAAGACAACGACTTTACACTTAATACTCGAGAGTAAA